CCGCGAGCTGGGCATGTCCACGGCTCCCCGGCGGCGCCCGCGGGCTGCGCGGGGCGTGCTGGCTTTCCCCGCCCGGCGCCTGGAGGTCCCGGAGGAACCACGGACCCCTGGCCCCGCTTTCGGGCCATGTCTTCTCCCGGTCTCCATGAAGACTGGAACTCGGGGTCCTCCTGCGACCCCCCGTTTAGCTAGTAGGTTGTAGCACGGGCTCAGGAAACGGCCACACACTTGCCTGTCGAAGAGCTGAAGAAAGCGAGGGGGAAAGTGAAGCCGATTTATTTCTGACTTTGAGACATCACACTAGATAGGCCCTTCCGGGAAGCGATGTACAAAGATCGTTGGCAAATGAAAACCCCACTCCTGTTCTCCAGGAGTTACCCTCAAAGAGAAATATTACTGAAATGTGTCCCAAAAAGATTAAATTCAACCGACCTCCAGATGAGAGAATGCAACTGGAAATAAATATCGCACCTGCTTGGAGGGGAGTCTGACTCATAGCAACTGTTTAGGACAAACCATAGAACTAGGGATCTTTGGGTGGACAGAAAGCTTCAGCGACCATCATTCTTCCTGCCCCAGGGGCTGGTGCATTTGAACCACTGACCTTGCCCTTAGCAGCCCACACTTCACCCATGGCATCACCCTGGGTCCTTGGAAATATCTGGGCAGTGTTTCCTTCTGTTATGCATAGTGTCCCTTCGGGTCTGCGGCGCTTGGAGAACACCTCACAGCAGCCGCCACCACAACGAAGACAAGCGTGCTGCTGCCCACTGTAGTTAGACTCCTAGCAACCCTCTAGAACAGTGGTTCTCAACCTCCCTCATGCCGCGACCCTTTCATACAGCTCCTCATGTGGTGGTGACCCCAACCTTAACATTATTTTCATTGCTACTTCATCACCGTCATTCTGCTACTGTGATGAATTGGGTGACTCCGGGAAAGGGACCCACATGTTGAAAACCGCTGCTCTAGAGGGTTTCCGAGGCATCGTCATCTTTCACCCAAGGAATGGCTCGTGGTTTGGAACCACCAACCTTGCTGTTAGCAGTCCAGTGAAGAGAAAAGGAAAATCTGCTATTTGATGTATCTGTTTTCCCCATAAAGGGTGGGGCTGGGGTCAGGGAGAGGGGGAACTTGCAAGTCAAGTGACATCCTTAATTCAGGAGTATGATCAAGAAAGGTAATGGGAACCTGGCGGATTTGAGTCTCAAACTGAGCAAAAGGCTTAAGTCTACCCAAGGGTGCGATAACCCTAGAGAGCCCACAGAGTACTGGTTGGAAAGCTGAGAACATTTTACCCAACTACTTTGTATTAGTGCAATCTGTACTATGAGTCCCTGATCCTCGTGCACGTTCTTGTTGGCTGTGATCACGCAGGGATGTGGAGCTGTGTTAGAGAGTGTTTCCCTTGTGTGTTTACCCATGGGGCAGACTTATGACCAGGAGGACTCTGGGCTTCAAATCTTTCCTTTTCTCTCCTCAGTTTCCATCTTGCTCCCAAGAAAGATTTCAAGTAAGGGGAAAAATTGAGACCAGAGTCAGAGAAAAGGTATGAACAGAAAAAGTTAATTTATTGAAGGGGATCCTTTGGAAAAGAAGTCCAAAGGGCCCTTAAAACCAAAAACCACACCGAAGAAACATAGAACTTTCCTCTAGTTCTTTAATGCTTCCTTCCCACCACCACCCCACTATCATGACCCCAATTCTACCCTACAAATTCAGCTGACCAGAGCATGTACACGGGTACCGATAAGAACTGGAAACATGAGGACAAATGGGTGCATAAGCAAATGTGGTGAAGAAAGCTGATGGTGCCCGGCTATCAAAAAGTATAGCGTCTGGAGTCTTAAAGGATTGAAGGTAATCAAGCGGCCATCAAGCTCAGAAGCAACAAAGCCCACATGGAAGAAGCACACCAGCCTATGCAACCACGAGGTGTCGAAGGGATCAGGTGTAAGGCATCATCAGAACAAAAAATCTTACCATAGTGAATGATGGGGGCAGTGCAGAGTGGAGATCCAAAGCCCATTAGTAGGCCACTGGAGATCCCCTTGCAGAGGGGTCTCGGGGAGGAGATGAGCCAGTCAGGGTGCGATGTAACAATGATGAGAAATACAACCTTCCTCTAGTTCCTAAAGGTTTCCTCCCCGCTCCCACTACCATGACTCGAATTCTATCTTGCAAGACTGTCTAGACCAGAGGAGGTACACTGGTACAGATAGGAACTGAAAATACAGGGAATCCAGGACGGATGAGCCCTATAGGACCAGTGGTGTGAGTGGCAAAACAGGGAGGGTAAAGGGAGAATGGATAGGGAAGAGGGAACCGATTACATGGAACTGTGTGTGACCTCCTCCCTGGGGGACAGACAACCAAAAAGTGGATGAAGGGAGACGTCGGACAGGGCAAGATATGACAAAATACCCATTTATAAACTATCAAGGGCTCATGCGGGAGGGGGGAGCGGGGAGGGAGGGGGAAAATGAGGACCTAATGTCGGGGGTTTAAATGGAGAGAAAATGTTTTGAGAAACGATGTACAAATGCGCTTTACACAATTGATGTGTGTATGGATTGGGATAACAGTTGTATGAGCCCCTAATAAAATGTTAAAAAAAAAAAAAAAAGAACTGGAAACACAGGGAATCCAGGACAGATAAACCCCTCAGGACCAATAATGAGAGTAGTGATACCAGGAGGGGAAAGGGAAGGTGGGGGGAGAAGAGGGAGACCAATCACAATGATCTCCATATAACCCCCTTCCAGGGGGACGGACAACAGAAAAGTGGGTGAAGTCAGTGTAAGACATGAAAAAATAATAATAATTTATAAATTATCAAGGGTTCATGAGGGAGGGAGGGTAGGGAAGGAAAGGGAGAAAATGAGCTGATACCAAGGGCTCGAGTAGAAAGAAAATGTTTTGAAATGACGATGGCAACATGTATAAATGTGCTTGCCACAAAGGATGGATGTATGGATTGTAATAATAGCTGTAAGAGCCTCCAATAAAATGATTTCTAAAAAAACCCCAAAACCAAACTCATTGCCATCGAATCGATTTACATTTATAGTGGCTGAGGTAGTTTATTGTGCCAGCCTGGCGGATAAACACAAGTGGGATTAACTGAAGGGCAGAGAGATAAATGGCTTGGTGAGCCTCGTCTTTCTTGTCTCTTGCTCTTTGATCATCGGACCAGTGTGCGGCTGCCTTGCTTGTTCTGTGCCTCAATTTAAAGGTTACACTACCGTGGGATGCCTAGTCTGTGGACTGTGTCGCTGTAAGTTGAGGTCCTTTTAAGACATCTCTGGAGCTGGGGACTGGCGGTTGGTGACCTGGCTGGCAGTTGGTGACCTGGCTGCCTTCTGATTGGTTGCTGTGCTGACATAGCCTAGCTCTCTCCATAAACAGAGGAAGATCTGGCAGCAGACTAGACTTGAAGGACTGCTAGTCTCTCACAACTCTCTCTCACGGGAGTGAGTTGCAGTGAGCCATTTGTAGTGCTTTATAATTTAACCGTTCATTTCTTGTATTATATATTTATCTGTATATGATTTAACAGTTCATTTCTTGTTATATATCTAATTATCTTTATAAATAAATATATTAAATTATCAGCAATTTGGTTTTATCTCTCTAGAGAACCCTGTCCAACACAGCGGCCATATAGAATAGGGTAGAACTACCCCTGTGAATTTCTCAGACTGTTAACTGTTCATGGGAGTGGAAACCCTGTCTTTCTCCCTTGGGTAGTGGTTCAGAACTGTGGACTTTGAAGATCACAGCCCTACACACAACCACTACGGGCCAGGGCGGACCTTATATTCCTCTAATGTCCGACCTTCCACCACAGACTGGCTTTCTGGCAGGTCTTCTGCTATTGGCCGGTGCTTGTGTGGAGCAGTGCCCGGTCCTCTTTCTAGTGCTGTGCTCTTGTCTCAGACCCAGGCCTGGAGTCTATTCAGTCAAGGGGGGATTGAGAAAGCATCTGATCTTCTCTCACCCTTTTCATTATCTACACTATCTCCTAGTCACTTTCATTGATAAGGAAATGTGTTTTATTCAGCCCTCACCTTCCTTTGGGTT